ATTAAATTACAGTTTGTTACATTACACTTGAATTCTTACTTAAATTTGCTTTTTAATTATTCCTTTTTCGATTATTCCCGCTATTTTTGATATTCAATTCACCTCAAGAAGCAACGAAAATCAACGAGCCACCATCTTTGACTTCCAATTCACCTAAAAAACCAATACAAATCGACGGATCGCCATCTTTAACATTAGCAATTCCGATAGCCATTTATAATCAAGACTATACTAATAACTTTACAGCTATCTATAATCATCAAGATTATAGTAATGACTTTACAACAGCCATTTACAATCAACAAGACTATACGACAGCAACCGATAATAAAGAAGACTACGCTAATTATTCAGCTTAAAATTCGATCGACAACACGTTCAATACGTAAATTGGATAACGAGAACGATAATCAATTTCTTATTTTTCTTCGCTGCAAATAACCATAACGATAACAGTGATAACAATAAAATACAGATGGTGAAAGTTACATAATTAACAACAATAATGATAATAATAATAATGGATCAATTAATACTTCTTCAACGCTGGACCCATTCATCATCAATACGCCACTGATCTCTTCACCTTTAACACAATCACAATCACTACAATTATTTATAACAAAACATGATTCATGTCATAATTGACAACTTATTATATGATAACATCTTCTTTATTTTAGTATTATATAGAGATAATCCCTCGTAAATGAGCTTGCTGGAATTTATTCTGTATGCTTTATTAGGCGAGCTATTAATTAGCTCATTTGTTCTTTCTTTGTTCTTTTTCTCTTTTGCTACTTCGTTATTTCGTTACTTCATTTATTTCGTTACTTCGCTACTTTATTTACCTTATTTACCTTATTTACCTCGTTTTATCTTGTTTACTTCGTTTACTTACTACGTTACTTCATTAGTTCATTTACTTCGTTACTTTGTTTACTACGTTACTTCGTTACCTTGTTTACTTCGTTACTTCATTTACTTCGTCACTTTGTTTACTTCATTACTTTGTTTATTACGTTACTTCGTTACTTCATTTACTTCGTCACTCAATTCCTTACCCTTACCATGTCTTTAATCGGATGGAAATTCAGAATCCAAATTAGAAAATTTGAAATTTGGTTCAGTAAAACTGGTCAACTTAGCGATAAAGATAAATATACATGTATAACTTTTACATTAGTACATGTACTACAGATTCGTAATATAAATACGTATATATGATATACAAATTAGTATACGTATAACATATGTATGTCATACGCTTTTCTAAGTTTGTTAACCTACGTAACCTCTTTTATGTTTCCGACTACGTATACGTACTCCTTTACACAATACATGTACCGTAAATAAATTAATTCAATTCCGAATAATACAGGTACATTTTATCGGAATATAATTTATATTGACATTATGAAATTTATTTGAAACATTGTTTTTCAGTGTATCAATACAATTCTAGCATATGTGACAACGAAATTGTTATAGATATCGATGTGAATCTACAAATGTCGATATGTTCCATGCTTTTAACCAGAAGATATTGGTATAATATTTATTAAGAAAATGACTTTTGCAGTAAAAGTAATTTTGGTATGTTTGTGTTCCCTCAGATTAGGGCTGTAACGTTTTGACAATGACCAGGTCCTAAACAGTCCCGGTCTATGATTTTGGAACCGGCCGAGATTCGGACCGTTTAATGACCACAATTATAATTTACATTTAAATGGGGAAACAATAGCGAGAATAATCGAAAAAGGAATAATTAAAAAGCAAATTTAAGTAAGAATTCAAGTGTAATGTAACAAACTGTAATTTAAT